TGTTGTGCATGACATGATAAGTGGTTCATATACTAGCGGCTTCGGATACGATAGTGTAAAGCATTGTGTGGTTGCTGAAGACCAAGTTTGGGAGTCGTATCTTCAGGTACATTCTAAAAAAACTTGTTATTTATATTTGTGTAATATATAATCATAGTTATATGCATATTTATGTTATTCAATTATAAAATAGGTCCACAAAAGGGCGGGAAAATGGAAGAACAAAACGTATCCTTTTTATGAGGATCTTTGTATTGTATTTGGAAAAGATCGGACTCAAGGAAATAGAGCAAGAGATTTTGTTGAGGCGGAAGAAGAGGTGCGAATAGAAGGACCAAGAATCTCACCGGGTAAGTGTTTAACGTATAAATTTTCTCATCGGATGAACATGAGAAGGACCAAGAATCTCACCGGGTAAAAGCGATTAGAAAGATGGAGAGTCTTACCGGGTAAGTGAGGATGGATACTCTTACCCACGTAAGCGCTTACCTAGTAAATTGTTGCATTCAATATGTTTTGATGTACTAAAATCTTACGCATCAATATAAATTATAGTGTTGACTCCTATTGGTAAGCGTTTACCGGGTAAGCATTTGGGTAAACGGCCCCTTGGTTTAACAAGACGTTTACATAGGCAAAAGAGACAAGAGTCGTTGGAATGGTTTAACATAGTTGTCCATGTTGTTCTATTCTTTGTTGCGTTGCTTTGGATGGTTATAGTTAAAAGACAAAGGGATAAACAACAAAATGGATACTCTTCTTCAAATGTGGATCGATCCTCAATAATGCATAGCTATATTTATTAGAGTGACACTATGTTCATATCGCAAATTAGGATGACTCGAACATGTTTCAAAAAGTTGTGTGACATGGTTGAAACATACGGAGGGTTAAGAACAACTAGGTTTATAAATATTGAAGAACAAGTTGCCATGTTTCTTCATATTATTGCTCACAATGTTAAGAATCGGGTTATGATATGTCGTTTTCATCGTTCGGGAGAAACAGTTAGTAGAGTTGTTGCTCGAGTTTGCAATGCCGTAATAAGGTTACATCGACGATTGCTTAAGAAACCTGAACATGTTCCTAATAACTCTACTGATCAAAGATGGAAATGGTTTAAGGTCTTTCCACTTCTTTTTAAAATTACTTATTTGTAACTAAGTCTAGTTATTATGAAAATATAATGATCTTTTTTTCTTGGTTCTAGAATTGTCTAGGAGCTTTAGATGGAACCTACATAAAAATGTTTAGTTTCACAAGAAGACAAACCTAGATATAGAACAAGAAAAAATGATATTTCGACAAACGTGCTAGGAGTGTGCTCACAAGATATGCAATTTATATATGTGTTATCAGGATGGGAGGGGTCGGTTGCTAATGGTCGAGTGCTTCGAGATGCTCTTTTTAGGCCTCATGGATTAAAAGTTCCAAGACCGGGTATAGTTTTTAATAGTTTACTATATATTAACAAGTATAAGTTTTGATGGTTTATTAACTTAATTTATTATTAGGTTATTACTTGGTTGATGTCGGATACACAAATGGGGAGGGTTTCTTAGCTCCTTATAGGGGTCAAAAATATCATTTAAATGATTGGCGTGATAGACACCAACCAACCTTTGCCAAAGAAGCATTCCTCGGCGAGAAATGTTATTGAACAATGTTTTGGTATGTTAAAGGCAAGGTGGGAATCTTAAGAGATAACTCGTATTGTCCTATTGATTTAAAAGTTAGGATCATCATGACATGTTTTCTCCTCCACAATTTTATAATGCAAGAAATGTCGGTAAATCCACTTGACAATGAAGGTGAAGTGGAAGAGGGAACCCGAGACCTTGGAGTCGAAGACTGGGATAATATAAATGTTGTTGGTACTTCAAATGAGTGGACTGCATTTAGGGATAATTTAGCACAATCTATGTTTGCTTCTTGGAATGCTACCAATTAATATGTATGATTCAAATGTTTGTTTAAATCTAATGTTTGTTTATAACAGAAATCACGGAGTTTGGACATGGATAATTAAATGTGATTATATACTTCAAATGATTCATTTATGTTTATAGGTATGACTTGTCAAATTATATATTATCGAGTATGGACGAATATTGAAGAAACAAAACTTGTTGAAGCTTTAGTTACCATGGTGAATACGGGAGCATTTAAAGCCGATAATGGCTTTAAATCGGGTTATTTAACATATCTTGAACAAGCATTA